GCTAAATAGGAGGAGCGTATTTTCCTGGATAATTCTCCACTCGGGTGGCAAAAACAAAAAACAAAATCAAACCAAAAACCCAGGATACATCTAGAAATGGCCCCTTTATCCCTCACCCATATCCCTTTATCCCTCACCCATATCCCTTTATCCCTCACCCATATCCCTTTATCCCTCACCCATATCCCTTTATCCCTCACCCATATCCCTTTATCCATCACCCATATCCCTTTATCCCTCACCCATATCCCTTTATCCCTCACCCATATCCCTTTATCACTCACCCATATCCCTTTATCCCTCACCCATATCCCTTTATCCCTCACCCATATCCCTTTATCCCTCACCCATATCCCTTTATCCCTCACCCATATCCCTTTATCCCTCACCCATATCCCTTTATCCCTCACCCATATCCCTTTATCCCTCACCCATATCCCTTCATCCCTCACCCATATCCCTTTATCCCTCACCCATATCCCTTTATCCCTCACCCATATCCCTTTATCCCTCACCCATATCCCTTTATCCCTCACCCATATCCCTTTATCCCTCACCCATATCCCTTTATCCCTCACCCATATCCCTATATCCCTCACCCATATCCCTTTATCCCTCACCCATATCCCTTTATCCCTCACCCATATCCACCTGGCTTCGCAATATTGATGAAAGAGATTATTTGTACCGTGACATCAGTAACTCACCCTGCTATCTCATAAAATAAAATATTTGTACCGCCACATCAGTAACTCACCCTGCTATATCCACATCAAATATTTGTACCGTGACATCAGTAACTCACCCTGCTATATCCACATCAAATATTTGTACCGCTACATCAGTAACTCACCCTGCTATCTCCACATAAAATATTTGTACCGCCACATCAGTAACTCACCCTGCTATCTCCATATAAAATATTTGTACCGCCACATCAACAACTCACCCTGCTATATCCACATCAAATATTTGTACCGTGACATCAGTAACTCACCCTGCTATATCCACATCAAATATTTGTACCGCTACATCAGTAACTCACCCTGCTTTCTCCACATAAAATATTTTTACCGCCACATCAGTAACTCACCCTGCTATATCCACATCAAATATTTGTACCGCTACATCAGTAACTCACCCTGCTATATCCACATCAAATATTTTTACCGCCACATCAGTAACTCACCCTGCTATATCCACATCAAATATTTGTACCGCTACATCAGTAACTCACCCTGCTATCTCATAAAATAAAATATTTGTACCGCCACATCAGTAACTCACCCTGCTATCTCCACATCAAATATTTGTACCGCCACATCAGTAACTCACCCTGCTATCTCCACATCAAATATTTGTACCGCCACATCAGTAACTCACCCTGCTATCTCCACATCAAATATTTGTACCCCCACATCAGTAACTCACCTTGCTATCTCCACATCAAATATTTGTACCGCCACATCAGTAACTCACCCTGCTATCTACACATCAAATATTTGTACCGCCACATCAGTAACTCACTCTGCTATCTCCACATCAAATATTTGTACCGTTACATCAGTAACTCACCCTGCTATCTCCACATAAAATATTTGTACCGCCACATCAGTAACTCACCCTGCTATCTCCACATAAAATATTTGTACCGTTACATCAGTAACCCCTCCCCCCCCCCACCTATCTCCACATAAAAATAACATATTTCTTGGTTTTAATGTGTGGAATATGTTTTCTTCAAGGTATTTTGAATATTTTATTAAAACCCTTTGAATAGTGTTTAATTTGTTGTTTGCCAATGAGCTCTGCGGAGTGCATAATTCATGGATGCGCATGTTGGTTACACACTTCAAATAAAATCGTCTTACTTGCAGAATTGTGTTAAATTCTATGACTGTTGAAGCCTAAATAATTCCTAACCCATATTTGAATGAAATTCAATGTGGGAAAGCTGCATACAATATTCCTTTTGGAGTATGTCAACGTCACATAGTTTTTAAACCTTTATAAGGGTCACTAGGTACAAAATAATAGTGACATAGAAATGACAGAACCCCGTAACATGTCAATTGGGAGCCGCCATTAAAGTGTCGAGATAAGAAGTAAGAAATGCTAGGAGCAATCTGATCAGCTGGTAGTAACACCAGTCAGCCTATCTCATGGCAATTGTTATTGGGCCGATAGATCAGCCTTTCGTCTTTTCGCCATAACTCTCCGGGCCGATAGATTGGCCTAGTCGTCTCAAGGTGGTTAGAGTAGCCACACACTGTACTTTCTCCGCTGAAAATTAGGCTATATTGGAGACATTGATTTTTTTTGTCCATTGTCCTGAGATCGAAATAACTCTTTTTGTTGCTTGAGATTTACAGTAACGAATCTTCAGACATTTTCCGAAAGACATGACGCAAATGAAAATTTAAAAAAAATGAAATAAAACATACATGATTATGGAGAAAAAAAAAGGCAACATGTTCCTTGGGGGTTGCCTACCTTCTCCAGATCTCCAAGATCTGACACCAGTGAAGAAGATATTGATATAGGTCTACCTAAACCAGGGAGCCATTGAATATGACTTTTAAGTCATTAAAAATATTCAATTTTTTAAATGTAGCTACTTTTGGAAGTGTTGCAAAACTTGGTCCTTTTAAAAAAAAAAAATTAATAACCAGGGGAGAATCGGATGCAATGTAAAATGCCGCAAAGTGTGGCCTATTGTTGTATGGCCTATTGTTGTATTATAAGTAAGAGAGGCTCCTGTTTAGAAGGGTGACAGACTTGACTAATCTTGTGACATTATTTCTGAGATCAAAAGCTATCCACCCACTTCCCCCTTGATCAGAGCGGATGAATAGTGATGCAGCACGAGGGGCATCAATGGATACACAGAAATAAACCAATTTGTTTTCGGTCTATCACGATAACAGTTTCAAATCTGCTGGTTTTCACTTTTGAAAGATGAAGGGTTTGTTTCAGACAACTCCAGACAACAAAATGGCCGCCCACGCCACTTACTACAAAACGAGGCAGTTGGCCTCACAAATAAACGTGCGGCTGACTCCATGGTTCAGCAGTCTTTTTTTTATGCTTATGGTAAAAACAAGTCTTAAATTTAAATGAAATAATTATGTGGACTTAATTTTAGTAACAAAAATATTCAAGACTCACCCAAAATTCGCGTGCTGATAAAAGTTCTTCATTAACATATTCCACCAATTGATGCTAGGCATGGACTCTATTGACTGACAGGCATGGACTCTATTGACTGACAATCCAACCCCCCCCCCCCCCACCCCCTTTTTTTTTTCTTCTTCTCGATATGAAATAGCTATACTAATTAGGTCGATTTGATCGTGATGTTCCAGCCGTTTAGAATGGCCACAGTACGCCCAAGAGCTCAAATGTCTCTTTCAAAAATTCCTGTAACAGCTGTGTCATTTCCCGAACTCAACAGAACCCAGATGTTAATGTCAGAGGCGAAAGGGAAATAATTTAAATGTATAATATAAGAAACAGCAGTTACGTTTCTTAAATAAATTGTAAGCAATGAAAATTGTAGCCTTTAATGGAAGATCTAGCAAAACCAATTAGTGTGTAGTGGGTCTACCCATTTTCAGATTCATCAATGGCTTAGATTATACCTAATGTCACCACACACAAAAATAGATACATAAAAAAGGATAACATTTTGATTTACAACAGTGGTGTTGTTTTTAAGAGACCCATTCAATTTTCATTTCTTTCCTGATTGTTCTTTTGAAATTTTTTTGTCAATAATCAATTCTCTAGTTCAAATAATCATCTATGTAGTTCAAATAATAATCTCTCTAGTAAAAATGCAAACTTAGCCGACAACTTCTCACACAATCATTATTTAATTTTTTTTAAATAACAGGAAAAATTGAATTATTTTTCAATGGGCACTTGTTGAGCTTGTGGGAAACCATTCTGCATAGAGGGCTGCATGGAAATTATTTTTTCTTTGGTGGGCTGCATGCTTATTTAGTACATAGGTCAGTATGGGCTTGGAACAGGGTGGAGCTACAGAATTATGATGACATTTCAAGTCAACACTTTGTCACTCTAAAAGCCATTGCTTGCATTCAAATACAACACAAAAATTGCTTGCATTCAAATACAACACAAAAATTGCTTGCATTCAAATACAACACAAAAATTGCTTGCATTCAAATACAACACAAACATTGCTTGCATTCAAATACAACACAAAAACTCACATCAACTCCACTTCAGAAATAACAAACTTTATTTTTTAGCACATACAAATACAACCATAAATAAATATGATTCAAATATAATTTCATCAGTGCTGTGTTTTCAAAGATGTTAATGATTATAATGATTATATTCATTCTCTGATTAGTTTAGCTATACCCTGTATAGGTTTTATTTTAATGGCATTGACTTCTTCAGCAAAAGACGCCGGTAAAGTCTTGCCAACTACTTAGTTCTGTATGCGGGTATGTTCACATACAGAAACACGATCCCGTAAAGTCTAGCCAACTACTTAGCTCTGTATACGGGTATGTTCACATACAGAAACACGATCATCTTATTTCCATAGCAAGTCTACACAAATATTTAGCACCGTACATAACGGATCAAATGTCGTTGAAGTATATGAATATTATTGTCCTCATGCCGTAGTAAGTAAAACTCAAAGCATACAGAAATATCGTATGTTTACAGTTACGTAACAGGAAGAGTAAGTCATCATGTAAAGAGTGCTTTGTCCTCGCACTGAATGCATCTTATCAAATTGAGTTGATAAATAAACTGGCCATGATATAGTTTTCACCAAACTGTTAATAAATACAATTGAGAAAAATCAGTTTTAGTTTTTTTTTTTTAAAAAGCACATTCTAGAATCTGACCTCTTGATACTTAGTAATTTTATTAAACTGTTCATGTTAACTGTTTGATTAAATGTTCAGGCATTTCTTCTAATAGATTTTTTAGCAACAGTTTCTGGGGGGGGGTTGCATACATTTTTTAAAAACAAATGAGGAACAAAGATTATTTACTTCAGATATGGGCACATTAAATTGAAGTCTGGACAAACACTTTAACAGAATTCAGTAGTCCAGACTAAAAGAAGGAAAAAAAAAATCTATTGACTGTAATCCACTAAAAAACTGAATGTCATTCACACATCCAGTTTTTACTAAGGGTAATAAGTAACCATAAGATAAAGAATGCTGAAGTGATTCAAGCAAAGTTATAGATAACAGTAACAAGTAATAACATAATAAATTATTTCTTTGAACTGAATAAAATAAAAAATCTCATGGGATGATCAGTCATAGCAAGGCCAAAAGAAGAATTGGGGGATTTCACCTTAGGTGCCATGAAGGTCTGCACAGACACATGAAGGTCTGCACAGACACATGAAGGTCTCCACAGACACATGAAGGTCTGCACAGACACATGAAGGTCTGCACAGACACATGAAGGTCTGCACAGACACATGAAGGTCTGCACAGACACATGAAGGTCTGCACAGACAAAATCCCACTTAGAGAAACTAGTATTTGGCTTAGTTATAGACATAGGGTTGCACCCAACTTGCCTCCCCTTTTATGTCCATTAACTTTTTTTAACCTTGGCTATATAAATCTATCACACAGTGGAGGGCCTTGTAGGGTCTAAGGGGCCCTGAGGCTCTTATTCTCAGTTATAGTTGTATGATTCTGTGTTAGAACCTTAAGGCTGTGCCATATTTTTTTTTATTGCAGTCCAGGTGGAAGGTTTAAAAAAACCTATAAGGCTAATAAATAAGGACTGCATTCTCCTTTTATTGTCCTGTCGTTTCATGTCAAGCTTCTACAACATACCTTGTTCAACTTTGACCTCAAATAACTCTTTATTATTTTCTACTTAGTTTTCATCATACATCAGGAAACGAGACAAACAGCATAACAGATATGACGATAAAATATCTTTTAATAAACCAGATCATTTATAAGTTGTCACATAGACGTACACACACAATATCCTGACATTGTTTCAATAGATCATCCACAAGTTGTTGTCACATAGACATACACACACAATATCCTGACATTGTTTCAATAGATCATCCACAAGTTGTTGTCACATAGACATACACACACAACATCCTGACATTGTTTCAACAGATCATCCACAAGTTGTTGTCACATAGACGTACACACACAATATCCGACATTGTTTTAACAGATCATCCACAAGTTGTTGTCACATAGACGTTCACACACAATATCCTGACATTGTTCCAACAGCGTTGCACATTATGTAAGAGTTATAATTTAAGCAGATGGTAAATGCCTCCCATCAAACACCATCAACCAGTGGAAATAGATGTACACACACAACATCCTGAAATTGCTCCAACAGATCATCCACAAGTTGTCCCCCTTCAGACGTACACACACAGCATCCTGACATTGTTCCAACAGCATTGCACATTATGTGAGAGTTATAATTTAAGCAGATCGTAGATGCCTCCCATCAAACACCATCAACCAGTGGACCAGGGCAGACAAGATGAACACAACGCCACCAAATACAAAAGACAGAGCGTACCACCCGGTCTCGTCGTAGATCCAGCCCGCCAGGGGTGAGCCAAAAAAGGAAGCCACACCTTTAATGGTGGTCAGGAAACCAAAAGCTGACGACAAAGAACCCAGGCCAAAGTGCTTCACTATAATGAGAGGCTGGAGCGGTGAGAAAAATCCTGAAATGTAATACCATCCATTCATTAGCCTCGAGCCACTCTCTTTAAATATTTTTTTAAAAACAATACAGGTATATTAATGAATTAATTTTCTTGTTCTTTGTTAAAAATTTTTATAGTGAAAATAAATGTTTCTTACAATTTTCTTCTATATCTTAAGGGCCCACGATCAATTTATTGATCATTTTGGATGGATGGAAGAGTCAAACAGTCATAGTGAACACATGGCTGTCTACCAGGGGCTAGGTCTTTATACTGGCCCCTTCCCCACAATCCAAGATGGTTGCAAACTTGTTACCTAGCTCGTATTCTACCAGGTAATTTATATATTTTATAAAGTAACTCAACCTCCTGTTAAAGTCATTTAAGCAAACAATAAAAATAATCTATGTTTTGATAAATTAACAAACAAATTTCTATCCATAAAGTCTTTATTATTGAATTTGATTTTTCCATAAGTTATCACTTCAAATGTTAATAATCATGAGTGCAACACCAGTGTCATTTGAATTCTGATAAGACACCTTCACACTAAATGATTAATAAGACACCTTCACACTAAATGATTAATAAGACAACTTCACACTAAATGATTAATAAGACACCTTCACACTAAATGATTGATAAGACACCTTCAAGATTCCAACAAGGAGTTTTTCCTGTGTTCAACTCACCTAAGAAAAAGCCATACAATGCAGCATAGAGACAGAGTGACCAAAACTCCTTGTAGACAGGACACAAAACACAGCTGACCCCGACCAGCAGCAGTGATGTGTTGTTCAGGTGCAGGGGATCCCATTTCAAGCTTGCCAGTATCCCTCCCAGCAACCTGCCACAGATGTTCAGACATCCTGTACACAAGGAATAGTAAACTAGTGTAAGCAAGTGACTCAGACACGCTGCACACACAAGAAATAGTAAACTAGTGTAAGCAAGTGACTCAGACACGCTGCACACACAAGAAATAGTAAACTAGTGTAAGCAAGTGACTCAGACACGCTGCACACACAAGAAATAGAAAACTAGCCTACGTGTCTTATGGAAAGTTATTAATGCTACTGTAAAGCAGCCCAATATATGTCAGTTTGGAAACACAAAAAATCCACTAAAATACAGAAAGCAAAATGGCTATGGAGAAAAAAAATCAGAGATGACACATGTAAGTACAACGGTTTCCCTTTCAGACATTTAATAATATATACATTTTAGCCTTTGGTTACTAACATGAAAAAAAAGTGGCTTGTACATATTTCCTAACTTAGTGCCTAAGTACAGAAAACTATTTTGATTAGAATTATCAAGCGCAATCCTGACATGTGACACACTGGCAATAATACCTCCCCTAGCAATCCTGACATCTGAAAAACTAGCACACTGACATTAATACACCACCAAGCTACATCTTTCCTTACATTTGAGCGGCACATCTTTAAATCATTCAATCAGACAAAGAGACATAACTCACCTAAAAGACTCATCAACAGAGCGGTGTCTGTATGGCCGAGCTCATTGGCAAATTTTGCCAAGAAAGTGGAAGCGACGGGATAACCAATCTGAACGAGCGAGGCGCCGCAATAAAAAAAATGGAATGATGGCATGCGTAAGAGCTGGGCTATTGTATATCCAGATGGGACAGGCTGGGATAGGCTCTTGTCTCGGCTGTCCAAGTTTTCGTGGACCAGACTCTTCTGTTCTGAACTTCCCAGGGTAAATTCATGAACAGAGTGCCCACTGCTGTGAGCCGCCAACAGAAGTTCTGATGCACCTTGACCTGTGGTGTCTTGCGAGGAACTCACACAAATCTCGGACAAACTCTCATTGGGTTTGGACCGGTCAGTTTGATGGCGGTAATGATGCTCATGTTGTTTCTGTAGAGACCTCAAGGTGTGGATGCTTCCAGCAAGATACAGCCGACTGCCGTTATTTGCAAACAGCTCATGAGGACCCGGGCTGGGCTTGTTCAACATTTCCAGATTTATATGGTGCTGGTGAGGTGGGTTTGAAACATTGTACCAGGTGGGAAGGCAGTAGGCGGATGAATGCAGTGACTTGCTGTGCCCACCTGTTGTTGACGTGTTATTTAGATTTTCTGATGGCAACTGGTACTCACTCTTCCACAGAGTGCTTGACTGGGGTTCATCACGACGGCGAGACTTTGTTCTAGAAGGTGCAGACACTTCTGGTTTCAGTCTAGTCTGAACGTAGTCTTTTAACAGGTTTTTAGCCAACACGCTACCATTAGTGGCGGGAGAATGATTTGAAAAATTTTCAGACGGGACTTCTAACAATCGAATCATTTGCCGACAGTCTGCGTCAACTTGGCGTGGGTCGACATTGGCCTGCTTTACTTCAGCCTTCTCACTGTCGTCAGACAAACAACTGGATTGGGACTCCTGCATCAGCTGATCATCATCGCCGTTGGGCATGTGTTTGCCTGGCCCAGGAGGTGGACGGTATAGGCTGGAGAACACACTCATGTGCAGCAGTATGGCAGATAGGATGAGTATGGTGCCCTGAAGTGAGTAGCCTTCCAGTAAGTAAGATATAAGTGGGCCAAGTACAACGAGGCCGGCCCCAGACCCCGCACTGATGATGCCGTTGGCGATTCCTCGCTTCTGTTGGAAGTAAGCATTGACAATGATGATGGAAGGCAAGAAGACAAGACCACAGGAACAACCTGGTGGAAGAGAAATTATCAATTGAAAATACATTTACCATACCAGCCCAAACCTAGTTTTACAAGAAATACTGGCATCGTAATATATTACATCTGCTCATACATGTCAACAAATACTGGCATCGTAATACACTACGTCTGCTCATACATGTCAAGAAATACTGGCATTGTAATATATTACATCTGCTCATACATGTCAAGAAATACTGGCATCGTAATATATTACATCTGCTCATACATGTCTGTAAACAATTTTTAAAAAAAACAACAAAAGAACTTGAAAATATAAAATTCAATCAAGGATCTATAAATAACCAGATCCAGCCGGCTATCTTAAAGTATGTTCAAGATATAATCAAGAATCTATAAATAACCAGATGCAGGAGCAGCAGCATGTGTCAACAGCATGTCAGTAGCATGCATATATCTAAGTGGTCTATTTTTATACAAATCAGGATCAAGTAGATGTGCTGATTTTTTGTTAAAACTTCCATAAGAGCAAAAAAGTAGGAACAACATGCAACGAAACATAAATGCTTAACCAGCAATAAATAAACAAATCTGAACATTATGATAAAATACCTGACGATTGTTTTGAGACCAGTACATACCTGTCAATAGACCATAGAACAGAATGAAGACATACACATTAGGAACAAAGGCACTGCATATGAAACAGAGACAGCTGAGCACACCCCCTGCGATCGTCACAGCTCTGAAGCCAAATTTCTTGGTCAGCTGGTCAGATACTGTACCTGAAACAGGCCGTAATGAGAAAAAAATTAGTTCATAATGCAATGTCATCTACAGTTTTTTCTAGTGAAAGTAGGGAGTGAGTGAGTAAATGATTGGTGGATGCACCTAGGGAAACCAGTTGCTTGTTCAACAGTCCAAATCTTTAGAGTTCACACATGAATGGAGTTACTGCACAAAACATTGTCTCACCATGCTCTTTAAAAATATGACTATAAAATACATAAAAGATCAGAACAATTTAAGTTAAACAAAATTATTGTCTCCACTGTTCCTGGTCATGACATGGCAATGAATATAAAACAATGATTGAACAAATCCCAGTATTGCCCTTATCCAGATCATTGAAATTCTCAAATATGAAGATTAACTGCAACTTTTGTTTTCTTTATTGGCAGTTCTTGCTATTTTACAATTACAACCCAAAAACCTTTTGAAGCCAAACCTTGCATTTAATCTTAAGTGTTAATGCTTTAGATGCCATCAACTCAACACTATATAATATATGCTCCTCGTTATATAAAGCAGACAAATATTCTGGGGGAATGAATGGGGTGGTCGGCTTGTGAGCGGGTCATAGGAGATTTCTATAACTTTCTCTCAGTACATTGAATAATGACATTGTTATTGTAGATCCTCGAGTTCCTAGTTCACCATTCACTCTGTATGATTCGAATACTTCACTAGAAGGTTTAATGATTAATAAATATCACCACTTATCTTAATTATTTATTTGATTTATTTTCTACTTAAAATAAAATGAAGTTTTAAAGTCAAGTTTTTACATATTTTGATTTTTAATTCACTCCTGCCATTGTTTCCAGCATAACATAAAACCAAGATACCCAAAGTAGATTGAATCACTCTTCAGTTATTTTTAGCACCAGCATAAAATCTCATCTTCTTTTGTACCATAATGGGCTTTTCCCATCCAAAAACATGAAGGGTCTTATGAAAGAAAGTACTTTAGAATTAGTACTAGGATAATCCTTTAATAAAAAATTCTAAAAATAATCATTAGAAAAAAAAATGTATGCATGCAAATAAGACCATGCCATGTTTTGACAATGTGATGAAAAAATACATATGCTTAACAAAGAATCTTATTTTATATCGTACAATCCACCCACACTTGTACTCTAAATGTCTCCAATGAAAATGAACTTTAGACTACAGCTAACTCAACCTGAAAGAAGACTCATGACTTTAAAAAACGCAATCATGAGATAACGAAGGACTATGTTAAGCCAAGCAACTGATTACACCGGGTTGGTCCACATTTACCAAACTATCCATACAGCAAATGTGTGCTCCCATCTAGGAGATATTGAAACAATGAGTCAGACACACTTTGTGGTCAGATGAGTACTTGCATCATCTTGTCCTGGTCAGCCAGGCCTTCCTGAAATATACCAACTGCCGAGATGTATATTGTAATACAGTCTCTGGCGCACAGCCAAAAATAATTATGTCATGGGTGAAATTACATGGCAAAAAAAGAGAAGAGATGACATTATTGGGATCATCAATAATGTCTTACTTTAGTTGTTCTGATTAGCTCCTTCCGTAGTGTTTTCAAAATAAATTAAGTTTGAATATTTGAGTAGTATATCATATGATGCAGATAGGATTTTAGACCCATAATCATATGTTAATGTAGTATAGGTCAGACAAAGCATTCTATTTAAAAGGCGTGAAATGTGTCAGAAGAACAGGAAGTGACTTCATTTCACCCTCTACAGCCCTAGCATTTGATGTTCAAACAGGGCTGCTGATTCAATACTTGCCATGGCAGCCATTTTCCCCAAGGTACATCTCTGCTTGCCCTCACAATTATCAAATTGTGTTCAGGCTCTGCTACCCATATTATAACTTCCGGTACCGATTCCCACCTTATCCCAACAGGATGCACAATAATTAATAATCAACCAGTATTTAATTATCGTAGATGAATGTCAGATGACTTACCCATAATTAAAAAGGCCATGAACAGGGAACCTGCGAATGACATGACAAAATCTGAAGCATTGAACTTGTCTGTCATGCTCTGAAACATGAGACCAAAGCTGCTGCCGATTCCATCGATGATAAAAGCATTGAAGAAACTTGCAAATACCACAACCCAAGCATATCCACCATCAATATTTTCGAGGTTGCCCCTAGATGATGAAACAGACTGTTCCTCAAGATTTGAGCCAGATTTTTCTTCCATGAGACAGCCCGTCTGGGAGTGAGATTCTGATCTAAAGAGATGACCCTCTTTGTCATGATTTTCTGAACTGGGTGAGTTGCTACCCATTCCATCTTGTCCCATTTACTAAGTCTAAGTGATGCAATAATTTAAATTGACATTATGCTATAAATGTTTTTGAATTTCAGAAATTTATTAATCAGGATAAGGAGTTATCCTCTGACATTTTGCACTTGTCTTGGAGCGTATAATAACTAGAGCCTAACTTTCCTTTTTTTGAGTCCAGTCAATTTCGATTAGGCAGATCAGTATTATCTAAGCATGAATATATCAAAATTGTTTTCAAGAGAGAAGTTTTATAAGTTATCAATATCTTTGATTTCCTTGCCTGTGTCTGGAAAAAAAAATGTAAAGTAAACATTTTTTATTAATTTTATTGAACTATTTAAATTTTAAAATTAAAAAAAATATGTAGCCAAGCCATATCTCATTATCTGTAGATGAAAGTAGACTAGACAAAAAAACAGTGGGCCAACCCAATTTCCAAACCAGCCCCCCTTATGACTACGATTATGGCAAACTAAATTACTATTATATTAGACCATTAGTAGGCATTAGTAGAATTAAAGTTTCTGTGTGCCTTTTTTTTAAAGTTTTATCATTTTATCCTCTGTTTTTATAATATTAAACTGGCTCTAAATAAAGGTGGTCCTGTAGAATTTCAATGCCAAAGTTTTTCATCAGAGTTGGTGTTGGAATGTGAATGTCTGATAATAGATAATAATTAATTCTAAAACTAACTAGGCCTAATGCCATGGAATACTAATAATACTTTAACTATTATAGCAATGTAATGGTAATAATTAGCCTACTAATAATTAGCATAAATTATTATAATTATATTGTTAGGCCTACTCAGTAACAAACTTCAGTTTCATTTCAGGCTAAAATGTCATTGTCTTAAGTTAGTAATTCAAACTAATTCCCTGGAAAAATACAAGTTGTGTTACATAATGATTAGCCTAAATGGCCTAATGATTAACGATTTAACGTCGCGGTTTATTGACTTGAGACAGACACTTCAGACAGGCTTGCCTAAGGCTTAGGGTACCGACTTAGGCTAGTCAATGACACTTAATTTAAACAAACAACTACTAAAGTTAAAAACTTGAAAGATCTTCAACTCTTAAATTTTTCTAATCAATGCTGTTCAGGCTACACACAGACATCAGTATCAGTATGGAAACATTTAGTCCTTGACTAACCTGTTACTATCGAGTTTCTTTGTAAGCATTGTTGTTTGGGCCTCTTCCGGGTTTTTATAAGTTTATTAAAACAAGAGCTCTTTCAATTTAACGGACACCAGGACATGATTTCAACCGGAATAAAATAGTGTCAATTGGCCGGGGGGTCATTTCATTTTTATTTGTAAAATGATATTTAAAAAGCAATACTGGGTGAGAAAAATAGTGACCGGGTAAAAGTTAAAAAAAATAAATATTTATTGTTGAATCATAATTAAATTTGATTTATAGATTTGGTGCAAAAAAGGGAGGGTAAAAGGAACGGGGGTCACAAGTCACAGGATGACAAAACCAGCACCGCCCTAGTTAGACGTACCGGGGTATTTAATATTTTTGGGTTTAAATTTTTTTGGGGGAAAAAACACCTTGGTTTGTTCCGATAATCTGCTTATAACCGCAGATCTCCTCAATTTTAGCATAAAACATCATCCTCACTTCCATCTCCACACGAATTATCGCACTATTCTTAACATCATCACAGTATAGACACAAGAAGGATTTATTTTTCGTACTCGTCCTCAGTGGCGTGATTAGTGGGTGTGACACAGGAGGGTGACACCAAATGGAAAATTGCAAGTGTGACAAGGCTCGCTCCAGTGGGTTTCATGACATAAAAATAAAAAATCAGAATGGCACCTGGCAACGTGACACAAGAAAAGAGTGACACAAGAACGACGTGACACCAGATTATGGTGCCACAATAACGTCAACAGACTCATGGTGTAACCTCTCCCCACCCCCACCGTAACTGCACCGAGTAATTCTTTTTCAAAACGCTTATACTGTCCCTAATGTAGGTCCCAAAGCAACAAATGACCTAAGAAGTAGCCACGTTCAATGCGCAATAAATTACTTTTTATTGAAACGAAAAAATACTGTTATAACATTAATTTCCTTTTTTTTTTTTAAATATGCCAAAAGGTCAATGACCTCACCCAAATGTACATTCTTCACTCTTCATGACAAACAATTGAAAAAAGGGCTGTCGGACTGTCAGTAGGACTGTTGTTTAAATGCCGTTCAGGTCGGGTGTAAGTCTGTCTGTAGGTCTATTGTTTAAATGCCGTTCAGGTCGGGTGTAAGTCTGTCTGTAGGTCTATTGTTTAAATGCCGGAAGGTAGGGTGTAAGTCTGTCTGTAGGCCTATAATTTAAATGCTGTTCAGGTTGGATGTAAGTCTGTCTGTAGGCAATTTGTTTAAAGGCCGGCAGGTTGGGTGCATGGGCGCCCGCAGGAGGGGCAAGGGGGCACTTGCCCCCCCTGGATTGATTGGATAGATTTTTTAGACAAAAATAGACAAAAAATGTATTAAAGTAAAGAGAAAATAAAGATAAAGAAACTAAGCTGATGTCCTGTCCGTTCGTTCACCATACAAATACGCTACTGTAAATTAAAACTACATTAAAACATTACTAAAATTCCCCCCCCCCCTAGAAAGTTTTCTGCGGGCGCCCATGGTTGGGTGTAAGTCTGTCTGTAGGCCTATTGTTTTAAAGGCTGGCAGGAATGGTGTAAGTCTGGCTGTAGGCCTATTGCTTAAAGGCTGCATATATTTTACACTATTAGAGGTTAACCTTTTTGTGCAACACTTGCCCCCGGAGTAAAAAAAAAATGCAATCGGTTAGCCCTAGTTTGGCTTCTTCCCGCTGGCGCACAACTTTCTTACGTACATGACTAGCGCAAAGCGAAACAAATTCATTTTGGGACCGATTAGAGAGATAATGGGCATGAAGACATTCACAAATTGGCCGTGACTGTTAAATCCCTGAGAATCGGATCATAATGGTAAATCAGATCTAGCCATCCCAGAAGATTGTCACTGTGGACGTCTCCAGTTAGGCCACGTTCCCCACGAAAAAGCAAATGAATGCTACGGTCAGATGACGAGGCCTAGTTCTGCTGTGTCAGGCCGTGGTGTTTGTGCTGTCATGGGAGTGAAGGTGGACAGTTTTTTCCCTCTTGTTATTTCCACGAATTTCACTCAGCCACGCATGACAAATGACGTAGTAGGCTACTAGAAGTACGCGGGACCACGGCGGTGTGTGTTGGAGGGGGGGGGGACACCACGTGGTATAAAAGGTGTGTACATTTTTGTGAGCGACGGTCAAGATTATTTTTTGATATTAGAGTGAATTTTGATTTGTTCGCTTGGAGTTCTGTTGCTCTATTTTTTTTTTGATAGGATGTATAGGATTTTTGGACAAGTCTATTTATTCTGAAGATCAGTGGTTATTGCTGGTCTGAGTGGTTATTGCTGGTAACTTTTCAACTATCATGGAATGGATACAAAAACTGAATTGCTTTGTGTTATTTGATTCATACAAGTCATCAGCTCTGGAGGAAAGTTGTTTTGGCTCTGGAATTGTTTCTGTCACCATAACGAAGGGGGCCCAACCTCAAGACAACGTTCTATTCACACCAGTGGGGCCAAGCAGCCATACCAGACCAAGCAGCCATACGAGGCCAAGCAGCCATACCATGCCAAGCAGCCATACCAGGCAAACCGACCGTAACCATTTGCTGAACTACTACAGGTAGGCCCATAAATAGAGCCATGTCAGTCATAAGTATTCGCCACAGTGGGGGTCTGATCAAACAGAGCCCAGCACTGTAGCATTCGCCACAACTGTGGACGTCTGACCTAAGGTACGCCGAACACTCAGCCAGACATTTGTAAGCAGGACCCAGTATCTGAGTATTTTGTAAGCTACACCCATGGCCCATGTCTTTAGTCGTCGTCCACCACATTTTGGGAACCAGCTATATACAATATTCGAAGTAGGTCGCCAACAGAACCAATGAGCCCAACAGAGCCAATGAGCCAACCTAGGCGAGCGAAGCACCACACCCGCCAAAGTTTCCCGCCACAGTTTTGGGCCATAAACCGACGGAGCCAGTCAGTGGCGTAGCTAGGGTTGGAGTCACCCTGTGAGGTAACACATGGTGTCACCCCCCACCTTCTCCCGATTTCTACTGTGGATTTCTTCTTGTTAAGATAAGTCCACAATACGACAATGACAAGAACAAAATAAATTAATTGAAGGTCAGGAGGTCAATGTATTTAAGAACTGTAATGTGCACTTAGAATCGCCCGGCCACATCGTATTTGGTATCAATGTGCCACACAAGTCAACCAGAACTCACCAAAGTGAGTACTCTTGGCCACCAACAGCGCCACACAAGGTAGTCAATCAGAACTCGCCAAAGTGAGTACTCTTGGTCACCAACAGTGCCATAAGTGTCCATGCCAATCTTTAGAAAGTCAACAGAGACTATCCAAGCGAAGACCATCAAAGAAGACATCTGAAGTCAACAGACCTATCCCAGCGAAGACCATCAAAGAAGACATTTGAAGTCAACAGAACTATCCCAGCGAAGACAATCAAAGAAGACATCTGAAGTCAACAGAGACCTATCCCAGCGAAGACCACCAAAGAAGACATTTGAAACTAATGGATAACTTTCTCGGCGAAGATCCTCAAAGAAGACACCTGAAGTCAACGGAGACCCATCCCAAATCAACGGAGAATAGGTAAATATTTTCAGTCGATTATTTAAATTATTTTCATTCCAGATTACCCTTGTATTGTATTAGTTTGCATGTCATGCCATTGTGCGCATCTTTAGCTTGTGAAGTACCCTTAAGTTGGAAATATACTAAATGACTGTATTCACATTTGTACTGTGACTGTGCCAAAGATTTTTATTTTAGTTGTTTTAAACTAATAAATACTGAGTATATGCTGTGACGTAAGTGTTAAGAAAGTAAATGTCTAAAACTGTTGTCGAAATTCAACAACAAGCCGAGAGATTTAGGCTTGGAAGGAGAGGAAGCAGAAGCAAGGGTAATAAATTATGGGGGGGAGGGGAGGGGGGGGGAGTCCGTGCACGCCGTTAGTGCATATGAGCGAGATTGAACTAAGAGAATCCAAGAGCATGAGATGACAACAAATGTTGATTTAGATAGGGGAGAAGTAGACAGGGTCAAGAAAGCAATCTAACAGGGCCAGAGAATAATCAGCCGACACAGGTCGTTCCAAATACAAAACACCAATGACCATTTGGACTTTTTCCTCATACGGGTCTGAGGATGAAGCGAAACAATAAATGGCCAGTCGAAATTTGAAAAAAAATGAATTGGGAAAACTATCCCCCCCCCCACCCCCTCTCTTAACCCCCAACTACTCCCAGTGTCTCGCAGGACATGGGTTGAAGACTCACGTGACCTGGGTTGAAGCCTCACGTGACCTGGGTTCAAGCCCCAAGTGACATGCGAAAACTGCACTGTCAAAACAGTTTAGGTTTATAGCCCAGTGGTATAGATATAAACAGCACTGTCAAAACAGTTTATTAATAGGATGTGCGGCACATTCATTACTGTACTGTTTATTAAAAGGATGTGCGGCACATTCATTACTGTACTGTTTATTAATAGGATGTGCGGCACATTCATTACTGTACTGTTTATTAATAGGATGTGCGGCACATTCATTACTGTACTGTTTATTAATAGGATGTGCGGCACATTCATTACTGTACTGTTTATTAATAGGATGTGCGGCACATTCATTACTGTACTGTTTATTAATAGGATGTGCGGCACATTCATTACTGTACTGTTTATTAATAGGATGTGCGGCACATTCATTACTGTACTGTTTATTAATAGGATGTGCGGCACATTCATTACTGTACTGTTTATTAATAGGATGTGCGGCACATTCATTACTGTACTGTTTATTAATAGGATGTGCGGCACATTCATTACTGTACTGTTTATTAATAGGATGTGCGGCACATTCATTACTGTACTGTTTATTAATAGGATGTGCGGCACATTCATTACTGTACTGTTTATTAATAGGATGTGCGGCACATTCATTACTGTACTGTTTATTAATAGGATGTGCGGCACATTCATTACTGTACTGTTTATTAATAGGATGTGCGGCACATTCATTACTGTACTGTTTATTAATAGGATGTGCGGCACATTCA